TACTATTTATTGTCAAACTTTTGTTCTTGACGTCTGTTGTCAAATTGAGAATAGATTAAATATTGTTTGTCTTTATTAATATTTTTATAGTGTAGTCTTGGCGAAATTTGTGATTATAGAAGTATAAAATACAATCATAATAGTGTACAAACTTACAATTCCAGTTAATTATAGTCGAATTTCGACTACTGCGGGACCTCTAGTATAAAAAAATCTTCCAAAATACCGAAGTGACACGAAAATCTCTCACATTAAACAGGCCCCTTTGGAAGAGCTTATAAACGAGAGTGGTACAAGTCACTTATACGGTAGGATTCCAACGTCCCGGGGGAGGAACTCGCAAGCTATTCTGTTTATCATATTGCGACGTTTCATATATTGAATGAATTTCATTCAAGTTGCTATAAATATTTTCTGTGAAGCTTCGATGTAATAATTCATGTTATTGCCAAAAATATAGATGTGCAATAAAAATATGAATATACATCTTCACTTAACATAATTTAACGAGAAATTGCAGATTTTAATTACAAGCGTAACTGGCATCAAAGAAAGTCCTAAGGTTCGGTAATGTTGACAAGTAATCAAATCAAATCAAAAAAGTTTTATTCAACATAAATGAAAGTACATACTTGTTGAACGTCAAAAGAACTACCGCCAATTCACAAGAATTAGCCTCCGTCCTGAGAAAAATATATCATCAATTGTATTTTCAACGGACATATACACAAACTTTAAATATCTCGTTTAAAATTTATAAAAAATAATTCGATATTCTCGCATTTAATTCTTTCAAACAATATGCCAGAAAACCGATATAAGTGCTGTATTAATTTTCCAACTGATTACAATCCATTTGAAAATGGTTTTAATCTTATTTGTTTCATAATATTTGCTTCATTGACTTGCTCGTTGATATTTACTATAGTATTACTTTATTTTTGTGATGTAAGGAAAACATTCTCGAAACCAAAATATTAATAAAACTATAATATTGCAGTAATAATAATAAAAAAATACATAAACCAAAATTAATTACGATTTACGATATTTTAATACATTAGTTTTTTTAGGAACGTAAATTAGTTAACGATCTACAAGCCTCGACGGAAACCCGAACAATGATAACAAAGAAATCACTAAATATAGCTAAAATTATAAAACTGAAATTTTCTAAGCCCACAATCTAAAACTTGCAGAGTTATCAATGGGTAAAAAAGCTCATTCAGTCTCGCGTGGCAGCTTACACTCTACGCACATGCTTACTTGAATATTTTGTATTCGCAGTGGAAGTATACTGTTACTTTTTTTTTTTTTATTGCTTAGATGGTTGGACGAGCTCACAGTCCTCCTGGTGTTAAGTGGTTACTGGAACCCATAGACATCTACAACGTAAATGCGCCACCCACCTTGAGATATAAGTTGTAAGGTCTCAGTATAGTTACAACGGCTGCCCCACCCTTCAAACCGAAACGCATTACTGCTTCACGGCAGAAATAAGCAGGGCGGTGGTACCTACCCGAGCGGACTCACAACAGGTCCTACCACCAGTAATTACGCAAATTATAATTTTGCGGGTTTCACTTTTATTACACGATGTTATTCCTTTACCGTGGAAGTCAATCGTGAACATTTGCTGAGTACGTATTTCATTAGAAAAATTGGTAACCGCCTGCGGGATCGCCTCGAACACCGGTGCATCGCTTCAACACGAATGCTCCGGACGTCTTATCTTTTAGGCCACGACGACTCTCTTCGCTTTACTCTATTCGCTTCGTCTTCTTAGGCGTTTCGCTCTTAACAATAGTCGCCATAATGTAAATCATTCAAGACTCGGAATGAGAAACTCTGTTAATTTATAGTTCTGTTAATTTGGCTGGCTCTCTGGTGCAGTAGTCAGAGGTCCTGACTGCTGTATCGAGGGTCATAGGTTCAATTCACACATCGGCCAAACATTATTGTTTTTACTGGTGGCAGGCCCTCTTGTGAGTACGCCTACCTATTTCTGCCGTGAAGCAGTAATGCGTTTCGGTTTGAAGGGTGGGGCAGCCGTTGTAACTATACTGAGATCTTAGAACTTATATCTCAAGGTGGGTGGCGCATTTACGTTCTAAATGTCTATGGGCTCCAGTAACCACTTAACACCAGGTGGGCTGTAAGCTCGTCGAACCATCGAAGCAACAAAAAAAAATGTAGTGAACAGGTTTGTTTGCTCTTTGTCTGGGTTATTATTATTTACATATGTATATATGTTTAAGTATGTTTATCAGTCCCTGGTACACATAACCCAGGGAATACTAAATTGAGGCCGGATGACCGTGCGTGATTCGATCCCAGTTATTATTATAATTATTAATATATAGATTAAAAATATCTTATACCTTTAAACGAGCAATTCTTGTATATTAATATATATATAATCTGAAACTCGGAAACGGCTCTAACGATTTTCATAAAATTGAGTATACAGGGGATTTTGGGGGCGATAAATCGATCTTGCTACGAATTATTTTCAGAAAATGTTGTTTTAATCGTGTTTTCAATTTTCAACTTTATCGATTGACTCTTCCCGACATCTATTGGTGAATAATAATACTATTATGCTATTTCAGCGGATGGCGTTGTTAAGCCACCCGAAGCCAATGAGTGTTTGGTTTAAGGTTAGACCAAGAAAATGAATTGTTTATTTATATTATTTGTGTCTTTTTCATATAAAATATAAAAAAAATACCGGTCATCGTCTAGTTTATATTACAGCGATAATGCTTTAAGCGATATTTGAATAATAAGATAGATAAGCGAATAAAATGTTAGCGAACGTCTAGTGAACTCTAGTGTAACGAAGTTTAACTACGCAATTGTATTTCATTAAAAGCCTTGTCGTACTTGAAAATATAAATGCAACGTAGAGTTCAAACTTTCATTCGTATTCGTAAAGTTTTCTGTTTGTCTGAAATTAAATGTATTTTAAATTGACATTGACATTTAAATTTTTTTTTTTTTTTTAGGAATTGTGAACTGAAAATATTTAAGGTATTTTACGTATTTATTTTATACATTTATTAAGTTTCAAAAACTTAATATTATCATGGTAACAAGGCTTGCGCACGTTTTCACTGCAATCAAAGTTTTTTTTTTATTGCTTTTGTTGGCAGACGGGCATACGGCCCACCTGATGGTAAGTGGTTACCGTCGCCCATGGACTTCAGCAATGCCAGGGGCAGAGCCAAACCGCTGCCTACCGCTTAATACTCTCCACAAGCCTCGTTTGAAGAAGGACATGTCATAGCGCTCGGGAAACACCGTGGAGGGGAGCTCATTCCATAGCCGGATGGCAAAAAAGATCTCTGGAAACGCACTGTGGATGACCGCAGTGGCTCCAGGTAGCATGGATGAACTCTACTCCGGTGGCGGGCGGTGCGATGGTAAAAACGAGATGCTGGTATCATCTCGAACAATTCCTCAGAGCACTCCCCATGGAACATACGGTACAAAATACAGAGGGAACCGAAGTCCCTCCGCAGACCCAGAGGTTCCAAACGATCCGAGAGAGTGGGAGTTTTACGTGGCTGCGTTTAAAGAAACCTTAATAAAAAACAACGTTTTCACAGGCCTTTAGGAATCGCCTAATTTCTCTCCTCCCTATATATTTAAAACATTAATAAGCTCTTTTATGTCATTATTTAAACATAATTAAAATACATTAAATCTATTTTAAGAAAGTATTTGACTCTATTCTGTTATTTATTAAGTCATTTAATATTGAAAAGATCACGTTTTTGCCGTCAGAGAATTGAAATATTTTTGAAAATATGGTGATCTCATAGACTTTTTCGTGAGGTGCTATTTATATGCCATATATTGTCTAGTAATGTGCAGATTATAAATGATGCCGTCTGATTAACAATAGATGTAGTTGCACGCGATTCAAATTCAGTACATAGCTCCAACATATACATATATACCTAAACAGTGGTACTATATAATGTACCAATGTTATGAATTCATAACAATATCATAACACTGCACTTGCTTTTAAGGCTTTGGAAGTTTTACCATTGTGAAAATTGAAGCAATGATATTCGCGACTAAACAGCCTCAGTGCTTTTTTTTTTGGTATATAACTAATTTAAATGTGTAATATTTAAATAAATCATTTGTAACTAGTTTTGTGGAGGGATACAACAAAGGATCTCCGAATGTCGTTGTTCGGAACTTGTATACGTAAATACCAACTTAACTTGAAAATGTCGTAAACAAGTTTCAGGCATATTTTTTTTATTGTTTAATTGGGTGGTTGAGCTCACAGCCCACCTGATGTTAATAGGTTACTGGAGCCCATAGACATCTACAACATAAATGCGCCACCCACCTTGAGATATAAGTTCTAAGGTCTCAGTATAATTACAACGGCTACCTCACCCTTCAAACCGAAACGCATTGCTGCTTCACGGCAGAAATAGGTGGGGTGGTGGTACCTACCCATGCGGACTCACAAAAGGTCCTACCACCCGTATAAAATCTTGTGTTGTGTTGTAAAAGTATCTTGTGTTGTATGATAGCTACCGCTACAGTTTGTTTGTTGGATATTTTGAAGACTCACGCATCTCTTCACTCATTAAACATAGATATTTCAAACATTAACATGACAAAATGTCATTTATCCAGGAAGCTCCTTATACAATAACATAAAGTATTCTGAAAATGAATTTAGGTAATCTTTTATCTAAAGGATTTCTCGAGTACAAACACTTTAGGAGCTTTTCGGGCATTAATCTTTTTTCTTTATAAGAAACACGACACTAAGCTTCTCAGTCTCTAGAGGAGGTACTATTTTCCAACACTCGACGACTTGTTCTTGAAATAAATATTATTAACTATTTTATTATTTAATTATTTCATTTTTATACTTTATATTTAACTATTTAATGTTATAACTAAATTATCAATAAATATTATTAACATCTACGTTATTACTAATAGGTAATTTTTAAACGTACCGTGCTCGTCTTTGTATCGCCTGCATAAGGAAAACATTCTGAGTTTTTTTGTTTTGATTCTGTATTCAAGCAAATCTGAAACAATAAAAACGTTATGTGATTAAATTCCATTATTTTTTTTCACCATAGTTCGTCATGAAGGTTACTCTCGATAACATTACCATCAAAATCCAATAGCATCCAATCCAAATTATAATATTACCGATGACAAAATTTCTGCACCCACTTAAATAATATATTCGTGGGCATAGGCAATGAAATCGTGGATAAAACAAAGTTGAGTAATAAAGTCATAGTGCTTAATGCATTGAATTAACGGCTGTTTTACAAGGACCGCCGGCTTAAAGGGTGAGACGCGCTCGGAATTTTCAAATAATTCAAGTGAAATTTATTCGAAATACTATATATTCCACTCTAATACTACTAAACTTCCAGTACTGAAACTAAAAGGAAATTAAACGTATTCCGAATTTAATTAATTCATAAATTGAGGGATGTACTTTTGTGTACTGTGGGTGACCTCGCCTTTTTTTTACAATAAGCCAAAATAAAAAGCTTAATGAGAAATTTCGACCCGGCCGGGGAAAAGTTAATTAACACGATTAAAAAATCTACGATAAGTCCACGGTCAAAGCCTCACGAGGATCCGTTTGCTAATTCATTACGGGACAGTCCTTTAATAACCGCAACCGGTAACTGAATGTGGGTCTCGACGAAAGTAGAATATAGGTGTAAAATATCCTTTGCTTACCCTATACTTCAAAATATTGATGTATTCGGTATATGAAAGTTTTATGAAACAAAATAAATTCTGAATGACTTACACGACGTTTTTATTACTAACTCACTTTCTTGTTAAAAATATCTTTGGATTATTTTTAAGCTAAGTTCATAATACGCTTCAGACTTTTGAGAGATGTAGTAAAATTTTGAACATCGCTCAAAATGTTGACATTATAGTGAAATGTGGAGAAGAGATTCAAATTTTAAAAGTAGCAAACAAACTCAATTTCTATTATGAAAAAGAATTCAATTCCGATCCCACATATGTATTAAAACTATATCTCTAATGTATCTAGTTCCCACAGTAAAGGATATTTCGGTTTGAGGGCAGATGACCGTACATCATTTTCTCTCATTTTTAAATTAATTAAATAAAATATATTTACTATTGGCGAATGGAACGCGGCATGATAGAAGATCGGGCGGATCGTTATCCAGTGTAATGCACTGGATAACGATCCGAGAAGAGAATCAACATGTAACGTGACCGCAGAAAAGGTTTGTTTCATCCTTTTATGTAACTACTAGCTGACCCGGCAAACGTTTTTTTGCTATATAAATTATTTATAGGTTATATTTTTTTTTGGGTGGACCACCCTTAACATTTAGGAGTATAAAATGATTCTCAGACCTGCCCGATATGCACACAAAATTTCAAGAGAATCGGTTGAGATATTTCGGAGGAGTTTGGCAACTAGCACCGCAACACGAGAGTTTAATATATAGATAAGAAGAGCGCATTGATCTATATATTCATTAAAAACCTATATATAACCAATATATTAATTATAATTTCGTCACTATTTTGAGCGCAGATTCAAATTTTTGAGTAATATTACGCCGTAATGTGTATAGGTACAGTCACCTGTTAAAGTTGTTTGTGTTGAGATTCTAATGCTGCGACATCGACGAGAGTATTTACATCTGCCAATATGTATATATTATACAATATGTATACGTCGAACAACAAAAACAAGGTCTCACGTCTGTTATTGATGTTCAAAACAAATCGTCAATCATCGCGAGAAATAACATTGGCAAAAAGATTAAGTTTTATAAAGACGAATGGAAATAGGAAACATTAATTGTGCTAAAAGACAACATCGAACGACACACTCGTATGAAAATCATAGAAACTTGTAATAATTCAGATTTATAAACAAGAATTCGCAGAAAAATAAACGTCAAGGGCAGACATAAATCAATTCTACGTTGCTAGATCCTAAGCGCGCTTTAAAGACCTTTATTTCTCTTGAGTATAAGAGGTATGAATTAAGAACTTATACAGTATGCATATTATTTCAAGTAGTTACTGTAATGAAATTAAAAGACACATGTTCATTCATAAAGATGACTGAATTGGCACAATAATTTACTGAATTTTTACTTTTATTAAGATTTTAGCTTTATTTATATTTTAAAGTAAATTGTAGATGATGACTGATAGATGTACATATATAGTTCGATAGATATATTTGTATGTGGAATAGAATAAATCTATCTTATACATATAAAAGCATAAACATTAACTACAAATACGAGAGTCGATATAAAAACCCTTATCTTCCGGACGATTTTGTATGGAAAATCATTTTTCGTTCATGACAGCAGTTTTTAATTCATAATTACGAAAATGACGAAAACTATTACGTTTATGCTCTGTATTGTTTTGAAGAGTTTTTATATCATTTAACACCAGCAAAGCAAGATTTCAATCCGCTGCCACGTATCTTCCAATTCTAGAACTACCTGATTTTTTCATAAGTAATTTAAGGGCTTACAGATGGTTTGAATGACGGACTCAACATGAGGAAGGCGTAAGAAATCGCCTGCCTTCCAAGGGAACAATTTTTTTTATTCATATGCAATGAGCATATACAATCGATACGATCTGCGAGTGAGACAACATTTACATAATAATAAATTTATATGAAAAAAGAAGAGGCAAAAAGGAAAGACTTAACATTTATTTCTCCTGGTCTGGGTGTAATAGGCCCGTATATTTTATCATCCCTATGGTTTCTACCCGATTTGACTGTGATAGCGCTACGGATCGCAGGGCTTGCGTAGCGCTACTGTAGCAGCGTAGCAACAGCTACGAGGCATAAGCTTAAGCGGAACTTGAATTGTTTTTTTTTTACGCAAAATAAAACTTTACTGCTTGGTCTCACTGAGCGGTTGGTGGTGCAAGAGAAATTTGAGGGCAAAAGAACTCGCGGAAAATCTCCACACATTAGTCTCATGTTTTTCTAAATTAATTCAGCAAAACTTCTAACTAGCATTTTGTAGTAACAGAAAAAAATATTTACAAAATATTGGTTGCGTGTATATTAAATCTTTGGATGGTTTTGAAATCGATGTACAAACGAGTCCTAGGTCGAGACTGTGTTGATTTTTATGTTTTCAGAGCCCATCGACATAACAAAGCCAATCTCGCCCTCTTAGGTGGAAACCCACCCACACATTCTTTGCAGCACAATAGGCATGACGGCTTGGCAGACTCTAATTTCTTGAAATCAACTCACCGACTGCATGATAAACAGAGATTTTTCGAAATCAAGACTACGAGTATGAAATTGTCCCCGAAAATACAAGGGCTGTATGTACACAGTGGAAACTGAGTGCGGCAAAAGACGGGGCCCGATTCCGCATAAAGCCCCACTAAACTAAAATTATAAATGTCAAAACATTTCAAAGACGAAAAACGAATATTTTTTCATAAAACATACTTAAACTTGTAAGTCTTTTTCGATATTCCAAAGTTTTTTTTCTCTATAGTTTACGAGAAAAAAACATTTACAAGCGAATGTTTGTAAGTAGAAATAATTCCATGTAAACAGTCATACATATTAAACAGTTTCAAACAGTTTCTTGTAACGAATCCTCAGAATCGAATTCATTAACAGCTAACTATTGTGATATTTCATTTGGCATTGGGTGATCGATTTTAATTAATTACTCGGAATGACGATTCATGGTGACGTCTTTGTTCCCAGCACTATTATTTATAAATATAATTGACGAGTTACATAGTATATTTTTCTGCTGCTATAAAGATACAGACGACGTCACGGTTCTCTTTTTTATTTATTTATTGATTAGATGGATGGACGAGCTCACAGCCCACCTGGTGTTAGGTGGTCACTGGAGCCCACAGACATCTACAACGTAAAATGCGCCACCCACCTCGAGATATAAGTTCTAAGTTCTCAGTATAGTTACAACGGCTATCCCACCCTTCGAAACGAAACGCATTACTGCTTCACGGCGGAAATATGCAGGGTGCTGGTACCTACCCGTGCGGTTTCCCAAGAGGTCTGTCCTACCACAAGTGATTACGCAAATTATAATTTTGCGGGTTTGGTTTTTATTATACGATGTTATTCCTTCACCGTGGAAGTCAATCGTGAACATTTGTTGAGTACGTATTTCATTAGAAAAATTGGTACCCGCCTGCGGGATTCGAACACCGGTGCATCGCTACATACGAATGCACCGGACGTCTTATCCTTTAGGCCACGATGATTTACTTCTCAATAGCGTCACTGTTGACAACTGACATTCTTGACTTGGTTGTGATTGTTGGAGGGGGTAGACTTGACCCGTCTCACGATATCCCGCTATATCTGCCTGCTTAACGCCATCTTGCTGCACTCATTTTGGGGACCTCGTAGAGAAGATGCAGAGGAATGTGTTCAGTCACATTGGCGACCTCCCGTGCGCTCTTGTACCGTCCTCCCTTCTCTGCACGACGAGGCATTCCATAGACCGGCCATCTCGCCGTGTCACAGCTAACCCAGGTTACTGTGACGCGGCGAGATGGTGTAGGACCTCTTGTCAGTTCGCACGGGTAGGTATCACCACCCTGCCTATTTCTGCCGAGAACCAGTAATGCGTTCCGATTTGAAGAGTGGGGCACCGTTGTAATTATACTGAGACCTTAGAACTCATATCTCAAGGTAAGTGGCGGAAATTACGTTGTAAATGTCTATGGGCTCCGGTAACCACTTAACACCAGGTCGACCGTGAGCTCAGCCACCCATCAAAGCAATAAATAAAAAGTGGTAAAACCATCCTTCACTAAACATCTTCAACTTTCTCCTAAACATCGAAAATCTACGTCAAAAATGTGGTATGCAAATTTTGCTATGAATTACATTTTTTATTCATTTATCTTGAAAAATATTAGTCAAGCCTAGTTATGTACCTAATATTTAGGAAGAGTTAATGCTTTTGTTTTGCTAGAATGACATCACCCTAATTCTAGCCATGGGTGTCTAAATGTGACTAAGGGATTCACCGAACGAGCTCTGGGTGTTTCACCAGCGTACTACGATTTGCCAACGGGCATTAATTGTGGCAGGATGTAAGCCCGCATGGGTAGGTACCGCCCTCCTGCCTATTTCTGCCGCGAAACGATCGTGCGTTTCAGTTTAAAGAGTAACTGTTATACAATTGAGAGTTCGATCACCCAAAGGCTAATGTAAGCTGTTAACGTTCAATATAATATCAAATACTAAATCTTCTTTTCTATAAGTTAAAATTCTAATATTGAACATGGCTTTCTAAATTATTGTCGTTCTATTAGCCAAAGTCAATTATTTAACTAAAATTAACTGTTAAAACCCGATGGTACAGTTACACGAACTTGTATTTAATACATCATTGAATTTATGCAAATTATAATAACACTGGTCTCTAAAAATTAAGGGACATAAAATAAAAACAAAATTCTCGTTGTTTTTGAACAGGCTGTGTAACTCGAAGATAAATAAGATCGTAAAGCAAAAGAAAGAAAATTTAAGCTCTAATTTTCGTAATTTCCAGAACTGGCCCTGAATTTTTCATCGCGTTCAGTTCCGGAGTGATGATTCTAAGAAATATACTGAAAAAAAAAAGTATCCATAATTTTAAAAACTAGTGTCGATTATGATTTCCCAGTTAGTTATTTTTTTCTTTAAATTTGAATTTTAACGGCTGGCTAAATAATAATATTTGAATTTCATCGTCACAAAAAACCTATGTAGTACAGCATATTATTATATCATTTTGAAAATATTATGTAAGTATCTATATTCTAAGTATAAGTATCCATATTTTTAAATATTGATTTTGGCTTCGAATATTGAAAATAATCCTCAAGCGGCCAATAAAAAAAAAACAGCAAAAAAACAACAAAAACAAAAGAATAAAACAAAGAGTTAAAAGTATGTAATTCTCCTAAATAAAATATTATATTAATTTACAATTTTATATGCATTTTACACACATCTTTAAATTTGGTAAGCAATTTTTTTTAATACGCGAATGATTATAAAATAATCTGTCTAAAAAATTAACATAATCAATTGAAAATCACTAACCACTCTAAACTATGATTACTCACGTATTTAATGAGCGGGATTACCATTAAGTTCTACGCAAAAATAATAAAACCGTTTAAAAATATACGTGAATATCAAAAATCGTGGATTTAGCTATAATCCCGTTCGTTCGTGCTCGAGTGGTCTCTGAAACAGCTGAAAGTCAATATTCTCCAAAATTCCAGCATCGAAGTTAAACAAACGTGTCTAGATTTAGGTACGAACCTGCACTGCCTACAGTCTTCGTCTGGCGGTTGTTTCAACTGAACCCATCTTCAGAATGCGCACGAAAATTTCACGTAACTCAGTCCCCGAAAATTTGAAGGCAAATAAAAGAAACGATCACGCCACCAATTTGTTTTAAAAGTTAATCACATGTGCAAGTGACTGGGGCGGATGAAAGCGAGCGGAGGCAGCAGAGGTTGTGTAGCAACTGCTCCAACGGGAGGGAATCGTCGGGAGACTTCGGCTGGAATCGGCACAGATCGGTACCGGGTTCCTTCAGGACGAATGGAACTGTATTAGCTATATAAGGGGCTGAATTCTCGTGCTGTGACCTGCTGAAAAATGCAAAAAGGCTGATAACGAAATGAACATATTTTAGTTCGTTCTAAAATACATATTTAAGCGTTTTATTAAGTGCTTCTTGTATTCCGTTTTTTGCGTTCTTCGCACGATGGAGATTCAAAATAGGAATTTTTAAATAATAGATATAAACGATATCAGAACTGTAATAATTTGAAATAAAACATTTTGAATGTGCTGTATCAAATATTGTAATACTATTTGTTTATAATGTTAGATTGTTAGAAAATTCTTAATGAATTGAAGGCGAATGATTACCCCATAACGTTGTATATAAATAAATAATTTAAAAAAAAACACTAAATCAGCTTGATACTTATAAACAGTAACAAAATAAATTGGAATAGTAACCGATGTGTTCACGGACCAATTGTTTTTTTATTTTTATTTTGCAATTATTCGTTGTCCAAGCTACAAATTAACTTACTGCTTAGGGAAAGGTTGCAGTAATTAATTTAATAACTTTACACAGCTCACATCATTTTTGTTAATTAAATAGCTTGCATTGACCACGGAGACAGAGCTTAGAATGTTTTAAAATATCTTTCGTTGTTTTTAGGAACTTAATAATCAATAAGAATAATACATAAAAAATCGTTAGCTACTAAATAGTTCTGCTCTCTATATATTCCACATTAAAAGTACTCTCAACTCGTAAAATTTGATAGGAGTCGAAGCTCGAGTTATTATCACAACCGGGCGTGCCTTCCGTGACGACCTGGTGACCGATCAGAGACCCGGCTCGGCTCTGACCGCATGACCCGGTCACAGCCTGACCCGGTTACTCGGATATGCACCGCCCGGGCCCGCTGCATGCCACGAATGCTTCCATCGATATCACTAAATTGCAATAAGCTAAAGCTACTGGTTGGATCGAATGCTCTTTAGCTTTACGGATTTTTTTTGTTTCATTCCTTGTTCGCAAAACAACAAATCGAAAGTAGTCAATTTATTTAGATTTAAATTATTAATTGCATTTTATGAACTGCAACTTTATGAACATTTTGGCTATTAATAAAGACTTAGTTTTTTTTTGTTGGGTAATGTGTCTCCTCTGCGCTATTTCTATGTATCAAATGATTTAGTTTGATGTAGAAGACGAGAATCATTAAGATCTTTACAAATATTAATGTCTTTCTTAAAATCATCGTCGAGCTCACTAAAATCTAATTCGCACGTACAGCTTTCAGGAAATTCGGGTACATTTTGAATACCTTTAATTACTAATTTCAATACGCGTTTCATTACGTTAAGTTCGTTTTTCAATTTTTGCACGAGTTTAGTTTTGGATTCGAGCAATGCTACCATTTTTTCTTTATCGAACAAAGCATTCAAATATTTGGTTTGCAAATCAAATTCTCTCTTGTTCGATAAATCTAGCTGTTTCTTCATTTCACAAACGATAATGCTGAAGCTCTCTCTCATTTTACCGATTGAATCGTTCGCTTTGTTTAATTCGCTCTTGATTTTGTTCATTTCTTCGTGAAGGCTTTTAACCGTGCTTCCGGTTTGATCGTTTTTTTTATTCGCGATTTCCTTGACAGTTACTTCCACGGCTGTCGTGTTGTTTCTGAAGACTTCGTAGGAATTCACCGATGAAGAACGATCCATAGAGGATGTATGTTTCTTATTTTTAACTGATGAAGAGCAAATCGGATGGTCAACTGATGATATTTCATTACTCATTATGTTTATTCCAAGAGCATTTTATAGCAGTAACTGTAAATAGACTTTGATGAATTTCCCTATACGATGAAGCGTCAAAACATACAATGACGTTAGGTGAATGAAAAAGTCATTTATCTTTTTTAGCCTTGACTATTGTCTGTTTCTGTTTACTCTATAAAACCTAGATTGCACTCTGATTGTATTATTCGCCAAGATAAATTCTTTACCAACACCATTTTAAGTGTATTACTTTGAAGAATTTTGAAGAAGTTAGTCATAATCAATACTGCCAATTAGCAATGTGTTCCAGCTCGGAAATTATTTCGTCAATTACAATGAACGATTCCTAACATGACGGTCGTGAGCCTAAATATTTACGCAGTTACGATTATTGATCAATCAATGTCCTATATTACGTTCTACAGTAAATGTTCTAATCCATTAGGGAGCCTGTGGATACTCTTCAAAGATAGTAAGTAAACATCTCTCATGATCTGCGCAATTAAAACCATGTGCTACCGGTTACGTCAGCCTTATTGTTTTATTTCACCTGACCTTTAATGACCTACTACTATTTATTTCATGCTACTATGATGAGCTGATGAGCTACTATTTAATTCAGTCCTCTGTGACCGCGATCGTAAAGTAGCTGAAAAATAATAATAATTATGTAATACTAAAATTAAAATAAAACGCGCGATTAAGCCGTTGTAGTGGTTTTAAATATGATCACTGCTCGAAAATATGACATAATATTATATTTATTTAATTTCCAAATTTAATAAACTTAATTGATAATTTCAGTACACATAGATTGAATACCAAATAGAGCATAGAGCAAAAACTGATTCGCATCTTTACGGTAAATCATTTGTTAATTAAACATGCATATAAAACCATTAAACTATTTTCCAATTTCATGCAAGCTACCATCGCGATGAATTATCGTTTCAAGAAAAATAGATAGTTTCTTCAGCAAAAGTTAGTCGTTAAACAGCTCAATTAACCATAACCTAACTTCTCTATCTTCGTTCACATGAAAATGCTAATTGACACATTAAAAATCGTAAGGAAACTGAATTCGAGTATCTTTTTTACATGGCACACATCATATGAGCCGATCGTTATACTGGTGGTAGGACCTCTTGTGAGTCCGCACGGGTAGGTACCACCACCCTGCCTATTTCTGCCGTGAAGAAGTAATGCGTTTCGGTTTGAAGAGTGGGGCAGCCGTTGTAACTATTCTGAGAATTTAGAACTTATATCTCAAGGTGGGTGGCGCATTTACGTCGTAGATGTCTACGAGCTCCAGTAACAACTTAACACCAGGTGGGCTGTGAGCTCGTCCACCCATCTAAGCAATAAAAAAAACCCGAATTGTACATTTTCCTATTGTACCTCCTCCTTGCGTCGATTCCTCAATGCTGAGGGCCGTGACCGTCATATCTTGACAGGATTTTGCTTCTTGTCATGTCCCTCCAGCGCCTGCGATCATTGGCCGCGTGAAGGGCTTCGTGTACCTTGTATTGTACCTGTAAATATTGTACCTTGCGAACGCGAAGAACCTCATTTTCTTGATATCGCGTCCACGGATTGATTGGATTCCTCCCTGCACTACGCCCACTTCGATAAAGCGGCACGACACGAGAACCCTCTCATCGTGGCCGCCGGTAACTACATTCCCGATCCTGCGGACAGAATGGAAAGCAGTCGACGTCGCCCCAAACACGTCATTTCGGATCCACTAACGGTGCTTTTAGTTACCTCAAGCACCGGTTATCGTTCGCGTCGAACCCGTCGACGAAGGGCTCGACGAGTAAATTAACCCTCAGACACAGCCCACTGAATTTCTCGCCGGATCTTCTCAGCGGGTCACGTTTCCGATCCGGTTGTAGATTATTCGAAGCACAGCTCTTGCTAGGGCTATAAAAAAAATTGGAGGAGACAAGCGGCCGCCCCGAAGAAAGAAGAGAGGAAAAGAAAGGAGGAGAAAGAAGAGAAGAAGGAGCAAGAAAGGATGAAGGGTGAAGAGTGAAGAGAAGAAAGAAGAGACAGCCACCACCCCTGCCTCTATAGGCAGGGAGTTACATGCCGCAGCAGAGGGGTTATCCCGAGACCCGCTCCGCGCCCCGCACCCCGTAAGCTTAGCAGGAGGAATTTCTTTAAACTAATTTATCAAACCAATTCTTATGTGTAGTCCAAAGCTTGTACAGTTCGTTAAAAGCAAAAGATAAAGTCTGGCATTAAACTATAAAACAACTTTTAACTGCCTATGACAGCAGACGTGTATCAAGCCATCCGATGGTGAGGAATCAATTTCGCTTAAATACATAAGTTCCTTGAACACGGAAAAAAGTCTGGGAACGCACTGTGGATAAGCGCGGCAGTTTCAGATGAAATGGATGAACCCTGTTTTGGTGGCAGGCTCGGTGGAGATTACAGAATCATCTGAAGAAATCTTGCCGCTTAGAAAAGATCAAGTTTTCTGGCATCAACCAATTCAATATTATTTTGCAGTAACTAAATGGGTTCTTGTCTCGGAGCACCGGGCTCATCGTTTATATGTGTGCATACATGCATACAATAAAGCATGTATTTATAATCAATTTAGCTTGTTTCTTACCCCCACAAGAGGTCCTACCACCCGTGAAAGAAAAACATCATAAAAATATCGAACGTTATCAGCAGTTTTCGAGAAGCAATTTTAGACTAACTTCGAACTAGAATATCAAACATTCGAATAGTCATTTCCATTTATACGTACATACGGGTGGTGTGTAACCCCGTTCCATCCACCGACCTAGTTTTATGACCTCGCTGCTGGGCGCACAATACCTAAGCACTAAACTATAGATGCTATTCAAAGGAACTCAAATGTGTTCTGTACATTCAGGTTTTCCTCGTCGCAGTGAATTTATTGTAAATTTAGACAAACAACAAAACTGGACTTAATAAAAAAAAAACAATTTTTTATTTATTGCATAGATGGGTGGACGAGCTCACAGCCCACCTGGTGTTAAGTGGTTATTGGAGCCCATAGACATCTACAACGTAAATGCGTCACCCACCTTGAGATATAAGTTCTAAGATCTCAGTATAGTTATAACGGCTGCCCTAACCTTCAGACCGAAACGCATTACTGCTTCACGGCGAAATAGGCAGGGCGGTGGTACCGCGCGGACTCACAAGAGGTCCTACCACAAGTGAACTAACAAGTTATTATCGTTGTTGAAACATTAGTAGTAATTTTTAAACGAGGAGAGATCCCTGCCTTCCCTAGCTCTACAGCTGATAATAGTATTCTTCTAGTATTATTATTATAGAAATTTCTCTCTTCTTTCAGTCGTGCTCCTTCCTCATGTCGGTGACCATCCATGACTTTCATCTTCACAATATTGTGCCATCTCATCCTGTCTTCATCTTCTCGGAACGCATCGGAGATGGTGACATCAAGGTTGGCGCCGATCTGGTTAGACCAACGCGTAGTACTACGCCCCTGCGATATTTTTACATTCACTTAGCGATTTCCTCTACTTCTGCCATTATTGTTTGGAGTAGAACGCGTTGCGACCCCTTGCCTTTTTGGGTGTTAATGTTTCGAGGTAAGCTGTGGCGTTCTCATCTCGAAACATGTCATGTTGTTTATATATGTCATGTAAATAACATGATGAAGATGCTTTGACTCGTCTTCATCATATTATAGTAAAAGGCTTTTAGGATTTCCTCCTTCTTCACGGATCATATATTCTTAGGACTGAGAACAATTATCTCTGTTTAATAATATCCGATGGACTACATCTTGCTATATCACGCCACGTATATAGTTCTCTACATTCGGCGCTGTGGAAATCGTCAAAATCAGAGTGTTGAGCGTCGCACGAATTTGATTTGACCATAGCAGGGACGTAAGACTCTCAAAAATGTTTTTATTATTTAGCTTATTATTCCTATTTAAAAACACCTGATCTTCAGGAATTTATTAGTTTGTCATATTTACATGTTGAATATTGCACCAAACACCGCGTAATTTACTATATACTTAGGTATATATTTTATGATACCAAGTTTTATAATTCATAGCAAAATTTATCTTACTGAAATCAATGGAATTTTTTTGTTAAAGGCGAAGATATTTTTTTGTTGTTGGTATAATAAACAACAAGACAGAATGTTAAATCAATAATAACAGAAATCAAATACGAGTATGATGTGTGAGAAAATAATGATAATTTAATTATAAAGTAGTGTAATCAGGCAATCGTTTCTTAAAGCGTACAGAGAAACATAGCAAAAATATTGTTTCGAGCTGGGGCTTGGGATAAATAAAAGGTAACCGTACTCGTCGAACTCGACAAAGGGTTCGCCGTGCAACCTAACCCATGAATCAGCTCGCTGAGTTTCTCGCCGGATCTTCTCAGCGGGTCGCGATTCCGATCCGGTAGTAGATTCATTCGCGAAGCAGCTGCTCTTGAGCTGTTAGGTCTCCTTCGGAGGCGCTCGGGTAGCTGTTAGCAAATCCCACCCCTCCTGGCTGAGCCTTTGCTCGCCCACCTGTCCTGGTGAAACTGGAAAGGCCTCCGGGCCATCAGTAAATATTCAATCATAAAAAAAAAAAATTTTTCACCTAGGTACAAATTGAAACTCTATTTAATTATTACGGTACTTAAAATAGACTTCAATTATCGCAAAAACACTTTTTCGCTTCGCTTCAATTATCCCTTTGTTGTTTTGCTTCGAATACTAACTGCCTTCATGTCGTCTTTGCAATGCTTCTATAGTCGATACGACTATTCCAGAAAATCTTTGATAGTACTTGATCATTACGATATCCGTATTTTCTATTTGACAACAGATAGCGTTAAGCGTACTCGCATAACAATTTTCGAACGCTCCCGATACTACTAGTTGTTTTTCTATCTGTTTTGCTATTCGACGATAGATGGCACTACTGGTACCTACCGAATAACAATGTTAAAAACCCACCAAAAGACTAGTAGGAAACTGGTATTACAGAAACAAAAAAGTCACAGAGGAAAATATAGAATCATTAATTATCATGCTGCGTAGGGATTTGACATGAATTTTACGACCGGCCGCGTGCCTGAGGTCAACTCTACTTAGGTATCTCCATATATCTATTGTGCAATGTGCCACAGGGAGGAAACTTTTCTACATATTGTTACGCGCTGGGGTTCGGGATAAATAAAAAATTCTACCGAATTACTAGTGAACACTGTATTGTCTCTTAGAACACACACAGAAGACCTTAAAGTTCTCAATTCGCTTCGAAACTTTTTAAAGCGCGTTCAGAGTAATATTTACCTCGCGACAGATTCGTTACGGTTAGATAGAAAAGATACAATTCTGGAAGAGCGAGTGTGAGAAAATAGACAGAGCGTCTCGTGAATCGCTCGACCGTGAAGAAAGGGAAATTACAGAGCGAGCTTGGTTTGTTTCTCTTATATACAGCATTCCCTATGACAAAATAAATTTGATTTAAGGATGAAAAATGAAGAAATCTGCAACTCTACACAACCCCAAAAAAAGTTTCACTTTTTTTTTTATTGCTCTTGTAGGCAGACGAGCATACGGCCCACCTGACGGTGAGTGGTTACCGTCGCCCATGGACTTCAGCAATGCCAGGAGCAGAGCCAAGCCGCTGCTTATCTCTTTCACGTGCACCAAAGTGCACGAGCGCTATTTTTTTTATCATACCATTAACACACATAAAATAAAATATCACACTTATTTTTTGTGCTTTTTCATAATAACTTACTTATTTAAAAAATTTGTTACATTCAGCAAAAAAATGCATTCTGCAAATGACGGGGTTGGTGTTAACATAACAACTGTAGTGGTTCAGGACTTGCCCTTGTCTTGTGTTACCTACAGTTTTTCCAACACGACTATCTTAAAAATTTGGTAAGCATTAAAAACTGATAGAGCAAGATTATTATTTTTTACCAACGTTGTCGATTTGAAGTTGATACTGCCACTTAATTAAAATCAGCTTAGACGCCCACGCATTTTGTTGTAATTCGGCTTGCTATTAAATAAGGAAAACAAATTTAATATAACATCCAATTAGGTATTCATAAAGTAAATAGTAATAATTAGTGACACCAAACATTTAGACGATACATTTATCTAAAATGTGGTTTTCAATACTAGCGGGGTTCAGGGTTTTCCTGAAAGAGTACCTGTTTTTCTGAACTATTTTGCAGGTTTGTTTAAGAGGGTCTAATATTTAATTGTTTAATAATAGTCTAAGCGCACCCGTCGAGGGTAACCAGATTATTGATACGGTTATTTATCTGTTAATCGAATTGTGTGGTTCGAACCGAGTTGTGTACAGTCATTGATTTGTTAATCGAATCTCGCCGGATCTGCAGTAGTCGTTCATTTGCGAAGCAGCTGCTCTTGATTTGTTTGGCCTTCGGAGGCACTCGGGTTGCTATTAGCAAATCCCACCCCTCCTGACTGAGTCTTTGCACGCCCACCTGTCCTGGTCAAACTGGAAAGGCTGGAGGCCTTCTTCAAACGAGCCACGAATAATTCTTCAAACGTAAAAAAAGTTTCTAACTTATTATCCCATACATATGTTACGAGGTGTGCATACACCTGGTCACGATCTTTTGCAGCACTTACATAGCGGGATAGGCAGCCGCGATCTGGTCTGGACTCCCTTGGATTCCGTCCTTTTTCTTACCGTTTATTTAAACTTATGCTGTTTCTTTACAACTCTATTCGTTATTAGGTAGGTAGGTATATTTGTGTTAGGGTAAAAGGTCTTTTTAGTAAAAATAAAGTGTTTGCATTGATATGTTTATTTAGGTTTTAAATAATAAAATGATCGTTATAATATTGATGTTTATATATTTCGTTCAATCGACAAGTACACCGCGGTTACTTTATTTCCTTAAAAGAATCCTTGTCCACCTGATGGTTGTCCGGAAGATATCGCTCTTAGCAATAAGACCCCTTATTGTACTTTCGCATTTAATGTTTTGCAGTTGTGTTTATTTTAGTGTACAACAAAGCATGTTCTACTTTATTAGAAACCTGGATGTAAGTCTTCAATAATAGAAGCCATTGTTAATGCAGAGACAACTGAAATATTGTCCATAAATTTATTTGAAACCAAGTATCCTGTAAAAGGTTGCGGCTCGATTGTGGCCCCACCATTACTGACGCCTACGAACGACGCTGCCACCCTATCGCAATAAAAATCCTTATGTTATTCTTCTTGAACTCGATGTACACCAAATATCATCATCGTTCTCTTGCCCTTCTACCAGTCACCTGGGGTCAGCACAACATGTTTTCTCCTTCCACACTCCTCTATCATATTCCATTTCTTCGCTCACTCCCCGCTTACACATATCGTCTTTCACGCAATCCATCCATTTCTTCTTAGGTCTACCTCTTCCTCTATATCCTTGCACATTCATAGTTAACATTCTCTTACCAACCTCATTTTCATTTCCTTTCATCACATATTCATACCATCCCAAACGCGCACTTCTCAGCTTCTCGGTCACAGGTGCCACTTCCAGACTTCCTCTAACATATTCATTCCGTATTCTATCCATTCTCGTTACTCCACACATTCATCGCAACATTCGCATCTCTGCTGCATGCAATCGCCTTTCATCCGATTTCGATCGATGTACGTCAAATATAAGCCAGGAAATTTAAATTTAAAACAAAATATATATTAATATATACACAGAAAACAACAATATTTAGTTCAATTTATTTATTTCATAACAAAATTAAAAACGTTTAAAATAAACATAGATTCATAAACATTTCTTTAAAATTAGTACAGATTGTACACGACGTAAAGGAGTTATCTGGTTATTAAGCATATATAATAAACGAACAAAGATTATTTACATGATTTACATACAAAGTTTTAAATGTCATTTTTTTTAAATACGTCTTATACACTACACAATCGAATTCATTTCAAAAAGTGAGAAGATATCCAATTTTCGCAACTTATAACTCGAATCCATGACCCCAAAACGACGAGTAAGGTTTAGGTCCTAAACCTTTTCTTTCTTCTTCTATAGGTATCGTTCCCCTACTGCTGAGGATCGCGACCACATGTGACGTTCCTCCACAGTGTTCGGTCATGGGTGGCGCGGACCGCAAGGTACAGACTACCACTTAGTGCAGGCAGGGGCTCCCAAACTTATTTTGTCTACTGCCCACTTTGAAAATAAATTATTTTTTACTTATAAACCACTATAGCGAGAGCTCAGTCGGTGTTTAAGTAAGGTGTCGGAGTCCTCCTAGGTGAAATTACAAATCGCCTCCCAAGCCTCTACACAACGCCCCCCTTTAGGCCTGCAGCGCCCACAAGGGGGCGTTATCGCCCACTTTGGAAAAAGCTGACTTAGTGCTTCCCTTACTAGATCTGACCATCTGGCTGGTGTTCTGTCCATGGCGCGTTTGCCTTCTATGCGACCTGCAATTATGAGCTTCTCTAATCGATGTCTGGAAGACCGCATAATGTGTCCGCAGAAACATCCTAAACCTTACTCGTCGTTTTTTCCTAAACTTCAGGATTACCAACACGAGATCGGTACAAAATCATATTACAAAATTTATTGTATACGTTTTTTTGCATTACGACCGAACGGGGTCTACAATTGAGGGAATAAGGGAGGAATGTAAGTGAATAACTGTAGCTACTTCTTCTACCTTTGATTAAGGATTCACGTCATAGGAACTTGTTACAAAAACAAGTACCGTGGCTTGTAGCAATAGTTTTTTTTTTTAAATAGTGCTGACGTTTCTTCCCAAATAGATCAATCTTAAAATCTATGAAATCGAAGTCACAGTTAATGCACAATAAAAGATCGAAAATAACGATTTATGTTTAAATAAAAATTTCATTTATTTATTTATTGAAAATCGAAACCAAAGACGTCGTGTAATACAGTTACTATCTTCGAGAATGATCTGTTTGAATCCTAATACCATATCTAATTTGATATAGCACAGAACACAGACCTTTTGCCATTAAATTATTTTTTTAATGGAAGACATCGCTTTTAGACTCCATGTGGTACAAATCAACTTGCCTTTTAGCTTAATGAAAATGGTGTTTGAAGTATACTTACCCTCTCTCTGTCTTTCAAGTCACTCAAGATAGTTATTGTTATACTTTGCAGATAAGATGTTTTTTTTATTACCTATGCGGAAGGTATATGTATCGATTACGGTATTCTTATTTTTTAGACTAGAAAAAAGTTTTTACAAACTTGGATATCCGACCCTTTGGTTTTCATGACGACGATTGTTTCTTTGTTATAGACAAAACATTTAAACGGAATTTAATAAGGCACTTTCTCAATATTCCTCATTAGGGTTACTTGTTCCAGTTCAAAACTCATTTTTATTTAGTACGTAAACGAAATTCAACTAGGATATTTTTGGCATAACTAGAAATATTGCTTTAAAAATTTAGTAGCGAAATACTTATTTAAATGGTATATAAAATTTAGTGTTGTAATTGTTTGTCAATTCACAATGTTTAGTAACATAAAATGAATTTTTACCTAAGCAAAAACTAATTAATTTTAATTTTCTAAATAATCAGATCTTATATTATATATATAATTTCATAGTTAATCCTTACTTAATTATTTATTCACAATAAGGCAGCAAAATTTCCATTTTCAGCTTAGAAATAATGTTATATTTTATAATCATAAAGAAATATAATGTATGCAACTGTGCAAATTAGCTTCCCCTGCCAAACGTATTTTAACACATGAACAATGACGTCATCGTTCTAGCATATACTGCTTTGTTTCTAACTTTTTTTACCCTTACTAGTAATTTTATAAAATTTTTGAAAAACACCTTTTAATTTTATTTTCGTTTATATATTAATAAACATTTTCAAAATTAATATTAATAATAAGTAGTCAATTGAGTAATGCATTATATTCGTTTTATTAAGGAGAAGCCATAATACGTATAAACCCGATAAAGATAAATAAAGGGTTATGCGATCCTTTTTTATAGTACACATTGCAGTATTTAGTTAGGTACGAAGGCACTACACGACAGAACTGCTGGCCATCTTATTGACGCCGCAGGTTCCGTCGCCGCGGTACACCCGATAGTATCCCTGTTCCCCCCACGACTTCCCCCACGAATTCTTTATCGTCCAATACGGAAGGTGCTTGTGGAACAGAGGGTAGTCTGCAAAAAAGTCAAATCATAGACATCATTAGATATGTTTCGGTACATAGTTGTCGTGTAACTCGTAACGAGTTATAAGACTTTGTTTGAACGATACATATTCGTACGACTTATATACAAGAATGACTACCACGACTTAGGAATAAATAACATCATGTAATAAAAATCATAGAAAGCAAAAACACAATTTATGCATAATTACTATATAATTACATAATTGGGACACAGACCTCAAGTCTCAAAGTTAGTGACGACATTCATGTTAGGCTATGTCTATGAGAGGTTTTCAAATTGAAATCATATATTGCAATATTCTTTTCTCGAATGTCAAAAATTCCCAGCAACAGTTCCCAAAAAAAAAGTAACAGTGAGGTATTATGACGAAAACAATTGAAATTTAGATCTACTGTGAGCAGGCTGACTTCAGACTTTATAATATTAAGCCGTGATCTTGCCACCGATCTAAACGAACAAAAACTAACCTTTAGCTCCGTATCCAACGATTAAAACGCCATGGTCCAAATTCGTGGGATTACACAGCATCTTCCAAGGATGGGATATCCCTCCCATGTAGAACTGCATGGCGTTCGCGTTGATGCCTGCACATTATAAAAAACACGTGACACGCAATTGATTCATTAACAATATCGTATATTTAGGATTTCTGGAATTATTGAAATATTATTTCTTAATTAGTTCTCATAATAAAACATGACTCAGTTATGATACAAACAAACAACCTTGCGGTTTTGTGGTCCGACTAGCTTCCTTGTTTTAGATGATTTTCTTAATTAGCCGCAATTGTATTAAATAAACGCTTTATTCCGGTATGAGAATTGATTTATAAATATAGTTCTAATTAAGCTGTTACCGAGGTCTGGCTACATGAATTCCACTACAGACTTTCAGACGTGAGGTAGAAATTTCATTTACTCTCAGATATTGGTTATAGAAGAAGCCATTATAAGGGATGTTGTGAACCCGAATGGACAGATACCACAACCCTGCCTACTTTTTTCGTGAAGCAGTAATGATGCATTCCGGTCTAAAGGGTGGGGCAATCGTTCTACTATAGAATTGAGCCTTAGAACTCATTTCTCAAAGCGGATAACGGCATGTACATCGTTACTCCAGTAATCACTTAGTACTAGGTTAGGCGTTGCGTTATTAATAGTAGTAATTACTAGTAGTAGGACCTCTTGTGAGTCCGCGAGGGTGGATACCACCACCCTGCCTATTTTTGCCGTGAAGCAGTAATGCGTGTCGGTTTGAAGGGTAGGGCAGCCGTTGTAACTATACTGAGACCTTAGAACTTATATCTCAAGGTGGGTGGCGCATTTACGTTGTAGATGTCTATGGGCTTCAGTAACCACTTAACACCAGGTGGGCGGTGAGCTCGTCCACATATCTAAGCAATAAAAATATATTAAAAAAAACGCTTCATATCTCACCGATACTAACTAAGGAAAATCGATTTTTTTTATGTTACTATTAAATAGTCATAATCATCAATTTATATTTTATTCATTCAAATTTAGAGATCATTTTACAATACCGATCGATATGGGTCCGTGGTTCACGAGCCATTTCGCCATGTCAGTTTCGTTTGAGGTTATGTTAACTGCGCCGCTGATCTGCACTCTGGCTATGCTCTTGTTGAACACGCACTTGTCGTCTTCGCCTTCGTATGGATAGTCCGTCTCCAGTTCTAAGCCGCCTAATTGTTCTATCGCTCTGAAGGAATACAAAAAAAACCATTCATCGCTCTGAAGGAATACAAAAAAACCATTCGTCGTTATGGCCATACGAACATTATAATACATGAAGCAGCAATTATCAAAACTGTTTGTATGAAAAAAATAAAAAAGAAATTAACTAAGATGCCGGAATATCTGTTAAGACTCTAGGCAAGACGAATTCGAAGTCACCGAAAATGAATCTATTCCTAAGAGAGATAACTAAAACATACATTAAAAACAAAAGTTTGCAAAGTTAGGCAATCCAGACGCTTAGTAACAGAAATTGACATAATTACTTCAGTGCGCCGCGTAGGACACCGGTGACCTACATGGCAGTCAAAGGATTAATAACCTTGATGAACACTTAGGATATCCTGATAAACTATATGATCCAGGAAACGTCCGATATATCAGCTATAATAAGTACAAAATTGCATTAACTGGGTATTGATTTTTTGTACTTTGTGAACAAGAGAGAGCAACTCCTTAATCCAGAAAAAGGCAACATAAATAAATGGCATAGCAACATGAGCACTCACAGCCTATATATAAGGTACAAATTTGTTTTGAATTAGTTCAGTTCCATCCGAAAATCATGAAATAAGTTTTAAAGAAAAATAGACGGTAGTTAGCAAATTATACAAATATTCGAAAGATCAGAAATAATATGATTTCAATAAGCAACATAAGATTAAATCGTAAAAGGAGGTTTAAATAATTCCATGAAGAATAAGGCACTAGTCAATTTAATTCCATAATAAATGTGTATCTTAATGACAATATCAATACGAGAATGAGTTTCTCTGTTATGTGATAGAGGACTGAAGGACTGATGACTGAAATAAAACAATATACCGCATTTAACGTATGAACCCACACCGGCAAACAAAAGGGCACGAAAGCGAACACGAATAGACAAACAAATTTTTATAACGTTTATCAGACGATGAATAATTTATGGAACGTAAACAGTCGAACTCTGTTTGTTACAAACATGAATGGTTTGATTCGTATATTTACAAAATATTATAACGTATTCATTGTTTATGAATTTTATAAATTATTCAGGAAATAACTTTTGTCATTGCACCATTTGTATGTTATTTATTGTCTGTCAATCCTGTTATTGTTGTAAACAAACACAACATCCTGTTATTTAATTACATTAGAATATTTTGACACATTAATTAAATTGAGAATTTCATAAATAAAAATAATATATTAAAGATTAAAGCAATTGAATCTTTAATATATTTTTATTTATTTATATAACGTGTATTACTTTCGTTTGATTCGCCTGTTTGGTAAATACTTCCTCCAAAGCAGTAATTCGTCCCTGTAGGATAACCATCTGTCTAGACTTCAACTTCGAAGTAGAAAACGATATTCACATTTTGATCTCCATGGGCTCTGTTATAGTCCGAGATCCGACTGCAGGATTAGTGCGCTCATTGGTTATTTGCTAAAAACCAAATTTTTATGTATATTTATAATTAGGAGAATATATATCTACCAAGTTGCCTATCAAAATTTGGCCGCTAGTATTTTTAATTAAATTATTGTTAATTGCTTTTTGGTAAAAAATTTCGTTCACTTGTTTTTTAAATAAAATATCGTCTACATCACGGCAATTTACATAATGATTTTAAAAAATCACGGTTGCCATTGCGCACCTGGCCGCACCTCTTCGCAGCCAGGTGTAAACAGGTATGATTTCGATACTTTTTTACGTTCATAACGTATATTTATTAATTATATATCAAATTGAAGCTAATTTTTTTCTATTAATTATCATCATATGGTTACCTAATTAAATCTGGCCGCAAATAAGGGTTGCTGGCTGTTAAAGATGATAAATATTTAAGGTAGAGTGAAAGAGAGTTAACGCGTAACATCATTTGTCGGACGAGGATAGCGATTGCTGGCCGTGCGACGGTTTTGCGTTGAATGTTAGTGTTCTCAACCACCGGGAAGTAACAGAGAGTTAATAAAGACTGCTTGCTTTTTTCGTTACACAAAAAACACGACTTCATCTTTATCAATTTTATTTTACGTTAATTAATTTAATAACTTTTTAGATGCACAAATAAAACAACAATGTAAATATAAAACGTTTATTACGAACTCCAAAACAGCGTGGTTTTTATGTTAGAATAAAAATGCCGCATCTGTTCAGTTGAGGACACTAACATTCGACGCATGCGCAATGGCTTAAAACCGTCGCACAGCCGGCAATCGCTATCCTCGTCTGACAAATGATGTTACGCGTTAACTCTCTTTCACTCTACCTTAAATATTTATCATCTTTAACAGCCAGGAACCCTTATTTGCGGCCAGATTTAATTAGGCAACCATATATGATAATTAATAGAAAAAAATTAGCTTCAATTTGATATATAATTAATAAATATACGTTATGAACGTAAAAAAGTATCGAAATCATACCTGTTTACACCTGGCTGCGAAGAGGTGCGGCAGGTGAAT